CATCATTCATCTTCATATCTCTTATTTTATTGAGTACTAAAAACTAGATCCTGTATCCAAAAAGCAAAGAGAAGAAAAGTGTCAATCATCAGATTTTCTCATGAAATAAATCGATCATCATATTATAAAACAAATACAATTTCTTTTATCTTTAATCAGAAACTAAGCGTTATATATATATTTTTTGAAATAGTTAAGTTCAGACAAATTTATCTTCTTATCATTATGGTAATCAATTTTTTTTTTTTACCAGTAACATTATGGTAACCAATGAAATCCTAATCTCTCGATCTGCTAATTAATTATTATGATTTTTAACTTGCATAAATTTAAATTTTTAAAAGATTTGGAAAGATAACAATGCCAAGTTAGATAGCCAACTTAAAGAATACGATAACACTAATGTCCTTTTCCCCATATCTCCATTCACGTCTAACATAGGATCCGTTGTGAATTTTAGGGTCACCCAATAATTAATTATTCAATTGTCACTATAAGAACTTAGAGACAAGGAAAGTTGCATGATTCGCTCAAATTGAAATATCTTAAATGTCTTTCTCAGTCGATTAGAAACTCAGACGGACAAGCTTGCTGGTGAGGGAGAATCTATGAACAGAACATAACAAACGAAATGGTCAAGTGATCATTTGCTTGGTCCACCTCAATTTCAAGCATGGTTTTGTGTCTTGGTTTAAGGGTACATATGAGGGGATGGTTTTGGGACCTCCATGTGGCTATCATTCATGCCTTCAAGTTCTCTCCTTTCAACTGTTTGACTGGGAAAAAATTGGAGGAAGATAAGACAAAGATAGGATATTTATCAATCCTCTCAAATCCTAAGTTCTTACTCTCTCTCTCTCTCTCTTCCTTCTGGAGATTTCTAGGTGGTTTGGTGATTCCATGTTCTTTGGCATGGCCTAAGGATCATTTCTCATATTGGATATTGACTAAAAATTATTTTTAATGGCGTTTCAAGTTATGAGATCGATGATTAGGTAACAGTACCTTTTTAAAAAAAGAAACTTCAATTTCTATCACAAAATGTCATGACTTGAGTGGAAATTAACTAACACACATGTTTATAGTTAACTGCTTGACATTAAAATATGACGGTATCAATTAGTTTTCCCAAAATGCCTTGTCAAAGCTGAATTGTTGAGAGAAGAAAAGCAATGCAATTGGATTTTATATTTGGTATACATTTTAAACTGAATCTTGACTGTTTCAGACAGCAAAGCCTAGAGGGGACAGTAAATAACTTCTAGCCTGATCTGTTTACAGTAAAGGAGGCAACTGAATTTGAAGGTTAATTTTGTCTATTTCATGCAAGACATAAAAAAATGTAAGAATCTTAAGATGATGTGTTTCTGTTATATTAATACCACTTGCAAACTTGAAAGAGGGGCAACTTTATTCATCCATTTATAATATAATCCCACAACTTGCAGCAAGCAGCATGAAGAATAGCCTTCTACTACCTCATTAAAAGCTGAACTAGTTTCTGCTTATATCCCTCAAACACCATCTGTTGAACACCTTGTCATGGAAATTCACTTCCAGCAACCAAAGCAGCATGAGAAAGCAGCAGTTGTTCCAATCAGCAGAGGAGGCAAATTCAAAGGAAGGAACAAGAACAATGGCACAAACAAATTTGTAGGGGTGAGACAAAGACCTTCTGGAAGATGGGTGGCTGAGATCAAAGACACAACCCAGAAGATAAGAATGTGGCTTGGCACATTTGAGACTGCAGAAGAAGCAGCCAGGGCTTATGATGAAGCTGCCTGCCTTCTTCGAGGATCCAACACTCGCACCAACTTCATCACCCGTGTCTCCACAGATTCACCTCTCGCTTCTCGTATTCGAAATCTGCTTAAGAACAGAAAAGGAACCAAGGAACAAGATGTGGATGCTTCTTCCTCAAGAGTCAGCGCCATTAGCTCTACTAGTACAAGTACTACTGGGAGCTCAGACTTGAGCAATGGTGACAAAAGTGAGAGCACTCTTTCTAGTGGGAAAATTCAGAACACAGAGTTATTTGGTGATGGTTATAGACCAGATTTGAGCAGTTGCAGGGAAGGTCTTGATCTAGGTTCCCAATCTAATCCTTCATGGGCACTTGGACCTTTCGTTGATCTTTTTCCTTTTGCTCAAGTATTGGACGTGCCAAAGCCTGATGGTATCGCTGATACAGCTGGTACAGTTGAGTTAGAGCTTTCAGAATTTGAGACGATGAAATTTGAAAGGCAAATATCAGCCTCTCTCTATGCAATTAATGGAGTGCACGAGTACATGGAGACTGTCCAGGACTCTAATGAAGAATCTCTCTGGGATCTCCCACCCTTATGGTCAATGTTCTGCTAAATTCAAAGCTCTTAGTGACCTTTAATCAATCTTTCTGATGTATCTTGAATGCTCCAAATTAATATTATGATCCGCCATCTTTCATAAATAAACTCATGAATCAGGAAGAGTTCAGGATCTTGACTTGAGATAGAGTTTTGCTAGCCTCACTGCTTCATAAATATTAGCCAGAAAGCGAGTTGCATTAGCTATTTGTGAGTGCTTTGTTTTTCTCATATCTGTACCGAAATATTCTCCAATGTAAATCCTGAAGTATCTTTTGTATCTGTGATTTTTAAGAATGTGTTTGGGTGAAAACTTGATATTTTGAGCGTTAAAGTTTCTTTACAAGTTACTATCGAATCTAATTACAGTTTTCGGGCAGTTCCATCAGAATATTTTGCCTGTGAAGAAGCCAAAAGAGTTATGATCCTAACTCAAAAGGAGTGCTTCCAGATCTTCTGGGATTTAGGTTTACTATATCCGCATGTATCATGCCTTTTGATGGTCTAGATTAGCTACGCACACATTTTAAATCTCCAAATAGATTATGGCAGCTTGTAGTTATCACATATGCCAACCCCTTATGAATTGACCATCTTAAAAGCGACCAACTTATTATTATTATTATTTTTTTTGGTAAAAAGGACTGAAGATTATGTCACTCATCATTTGTGATGATATATGTTTTGTTGCTCATATTTCAAATACGTAACTTTTATCTACCTTGTGGACCCAAAAGCTCTTTTTTTAAAAAAAAAAATGGTTGTACTTTCTGAATCCTTATCCTTCTTTTCTTCCCTTTGGCCCATGGAGGCTACATTGAGCCATATTTAGAAATATCTACAAAACAACCAAACTACATACATTCTCCTAATGAATTCATCTTAGAGTTTTTTCTTTTTTTTTTTGGAACAAACATCTTTGAGTTAAAAAGGACTTGAAATTGATAGGTGTGGGTTATTCCACAGCGGTTCCAAGAGTTGGCAAGTCAAGCGACAAGCATACAATTGCGTGGAAAAAAAAAAAATTAAAATAACACTTAAGGACTCATAACCTGTATCAACAATATTTATGGACTTTGAAAATCAAAATTTATCTCAAGGACCACAAACATAAGTTTATTCTTAAAAAATTAGTTATGTTTCATATGTTCACACCTTGATTTCCTGACCTTACAGAGATCACTTAATGAACATACTGAGTAGTGAGTTGCTTTTATGGTCTTGGAAATAAGTTTAGTTTTCAAGATGTTTAATCATGACCAATATATATAATAAAATATATAAACAGATAAGACCATTCATAGATTATACTAATAAATAGTTCATCTTGAACTATCATTTTTTTTTAAATAACAATAATGACATGTCCTAAAGCAGGGCTTGGTTCTCGCGAGGAAAAAAAAAAAAAAACTACTAGCTGCAAGATTTTAGCCCAAAATGGGGGACCTGTCTATGGGAATTGGTCAATTTTAAGAGATATCATAGGATACAGCATAAACACTAATATATTCATGAAAAGGCAGGCTAATCCTCATGTCCAATACAACCACAAATCAGAGGAATTTAATGTTTTTTTCCTCTCTTTATTATGTTAACATTACCTGTTGCTGCACAACCTTTGATGATGTCTAATCTAAATTCCATAATCTATGGAAGTCTGTAACCTTCTTGGCACGCCATTGATTCTGCACAGTTAGGAACAATATAAAACCAGACACCACATGTGCAGAAAAAGGGACAAACGTAAAAGTGTGATCAATTTCGTCTTCTTCATGAGATTCAACATCTTAAGTTTAGCATTCAGATCCTTCTGTTCTTTCTTAATATTTCATATTTGCCACCCCTTGAAAGATTATTTAATTTCCTGCACTCGGTGAATAGTTTATCCATGCTTTTACTTCTTTTTATTCTTCAGAAAATATTCAAAAATGGAGACCCTGCTTTTGTCTTTGGGTTTCTCAACCAAATGTGTATTTCCTCTCTTCAGTCTTCATATTTATGTCTGTCTACAGCTGAAAGGTAGATTTATTATACAGATTCATCATTAAGTTCGCACCATAACTTTACATATTCCCCTTTTCTCTCCTGATTAAGCATTATCATTGAAAACAATTAAAACAAGAATATTGTTGTTGAATGTGAAAACTAATTACTTACTTTTCATATAGTTTTAACTCAATTAAAATTCAATTGTTGAACTTTGACAGGACACTACTCAATCCTTGTAATTTTAAGCATTTATAATATTAATATTATATTTTAAAAAATAAAATTATAAAAAAGGAAATTATTTTTTTAAATTTACGAACTAATGTTTAGAAAAATTAAAGTTTAAAAATTACTTAAGATTATAAGAATTGAGTTATAAGGAATTAAAATTTAAAGAATGAATTGCAAACAATCAAAATATATAAATTATTTTTAATATTAAAAATAGATATGTATTTTGTTAAATTATTTCTCCCAAAAAATTATATAATTTCTCCGATGTATAAGTTATCTAAATGATTAACCTTGTAACTACAAACTTACATTCTATACATGAAATCATCGAAAGATTAAAAAAAAATGTAAAAACGGCCACTTGGGACTGTTTTAACAAAAAATTAACAGAAGGTTGGGCATATTTTACTCTCGTAATTGTGATGGTGGACGAGTTGCTTCTCGAGTTTGCTGGTATCCTTATTTCTGTGGACGGACGTTAAGGAGACATGAGCTGATAGCGAAATTAACGAAGCAGGCGAGGCATGGAAGCTGCGAAGGTGACTGTGAAAGCCGTGGCTCTGATCGCCGGAGATAACAGCATCAGAGGAGCTCTTCAGTTTGTGCAACACCCCGATGGTCTTTTACTCTACATTTTTTGTTTCCTTTTTTCTATTGAAGCTGTTGTGATTGTTTAATCCGAAATTCAGCTAATTTTGAGTAAATTTCTGCAGGAACTACTCATGTAAAAGGGAGAATCACTGGGTTGTCCCCTGGCCCTCACGGATTCCATATTCACGCCCTCGGTGACACCACTAATGGCTGCAATTCCACTGGTTCGGAATTTTATTTCATCGAGTCATAACGAATTCGCACTCTTCTCTAGCGGAGTATCCTTTATGTTTGCGAATTAGTTCCCGTGATGAATTGCTCTGAATCGCAGGCCCTCATTTCAATCCCTTCAAGAAGGACCATGGGGCGCGAACAGATGATGAGCGTCATGCTGGAGATTTGGGTAACATTGTTGCAGGCATGGATGGTATTTACCATTTTTATTTTCCACATTTATGTTGATACTCTTACTTGATTCTTTTCTTTGTGAGGAATTTATTGTATTCATTATCTTTTGTAGGGGTTGCTAATGTTTCAATCACAGACAGACAGGTAGACACTCGCCCCTGTTGTACTGATCATTTGGTTCATACTGTGTTAGTGAAATTTATATTTCACTTTAATTGGGAAAGTGCTTTAACATGGCCCTTTTCCCTTTCAACCTGCAGATACCACTAAGTGGGGTTCATTCCATACTTGGAAGGGCAGTTGTTGTGCATGCTGATCCTGACGATCTTGGCAGAGGTAAGAATCTGAAATTTGGCTCCAAATTCGCTCCATCAATGTCAATTTTTTTACTTTTCCTAGTTATATCATTTTACGATATAAGGTGCTGAAGTTGGTTATCTATTTAAGCACATTGTCCTGACTACCCTTAAAAGTTTTACATGAGAACATTAAAATAAGAATCACTATTCCTGACTGGTTCTGTTCCATTACATTCCATGTTGCATATTTCTTGGCTGTTTTCCTTTTCTTCCTCGTATTTAAGGCCCATTTTTAATCCTGTTACTGCTACAATGACAAAAGCCTTTGCTTATGAAGCATACTCGTTCATTGGTTACCTATGCATATCATACATACGAATAGAGTAGCTGTTTAACTTAGACACAATATGAATCTCTTCTCATGTCTCAACCTGAATGCTTCATTATGAATGCATGGCACACGTTTTTCCAGCTGAAGTTGACATTCCATATTGGAAAATATAATTTACTTGTGATAGTATATTTCTATTTCTAAATTCTAATGGTTGAAAACTAATCACTGACATATATGGTTGGATATTGCTACCCAAATATTGTTTCTAATGCAGATCCTATGCAGAAAATGTGTTTAAACTATACTCGCGAGGTTGTTACCTGAAGTGACTTCAGAATGAAGTTGCGGATATCGAGATATGTCCATTTTGCAGCTATGATAATTGAAATGAATGTGGTAACTGCACATATTTGCACCTAAAAGGTCAAACAAAGCTTCAAAATCACGCCTAGGATGTGATGAAGGCGAACGAGTGTAGGCCTTTTAAAAGCAAAGCCAAAAGTTGAATTTTTATCAATAGTTGGAGTGTACAGTGCTTCTCTAGACAGTGACACTTGATATTCAAGTAAAAGCATGGCAATCATTACTTGATATACGGTCAAGGGGAGCTGGAAATTAAATGGCCGTGTAGTTTATTCTCTGGGAAGGCATATGTTGATTGCCATCTAGTGTGAATCGAATTCTTTTTCCCTGCGAAGAGCGAATATTTTGTGCATGTATTACTCGGGTTAAAAATAATCTACATGCTCAATTATATTTCAGCATTTCAGGTTAAGACAGAAGTCCAATTTACCATGTGTTTTCCCTCAAATTGACCTATTAGTATTTACTTTTCATTAAGGTACAAGGTTGTGAAGCACATTTGATCAATTCTCTGCTATTCATTCCACCAAATAAAGAAACGCAGGCGCAACTTTTAGGTGTTTGCCACCAAGTTTCTCAATAACTTCATGACAAATAATGGCTTTAGGTCGGTATCAAATGAATGGGTCTATAAAAAATTCTTCCATGTGATAGATTTTATTCGAGAACCTAATAATAAATACTTACGAAACTAGGGATAAATCTAGTACTGCTCTAATACCATATCTAAATTCTAATGAGTAGTACCTAGTGTCATGTACCTATTTTCAGACTGTCTTAAATTTTCCACTTGGTTTAATGTGCTTGCCACTGGTTTTTTTTTTTTTTTTTTAAGACCTGGCTGAACTGCTTATGAAACTGTTGATTTTGCGTATCTTTTGTTGAAACAGGTGGCCATGAACTAAGCAAGACCACTGGTAATGCTGGTGCAAGAGTAGGATGCGGTAATACTTCTCTTCTGTGCAATGAAACACACAAAAACCAATCATTTTTGCTTTAAACTAAACCAAACATTGCTTCTCCATTTTTGGGAAAATTTTGTCATTTTTCCTTTTTCTTAATCTCTTTATTAACTAGCCATTTAATAAAAATTCAAAACCTATATAAAAACAAGATTCTCTTTCAATATTTATTTATTATTAAATGAATTACTGTTTATTTAATACTGTTTTTAATCTAACAAATTATACGTTCTTCGAATCATAGTTTTATTTGAAAAATTACATGGGGTTTTCAACTTTACGGCACATCAATTTTAGCCTTTGAATTAGGGGACATCAAAACGGAAGAATTTACCATATCTGTGCGAGGTTTGGTTTGGTTTAATAATGTCTCCAGTGTACTCCGCGTGTTGGTTGAAGGCTGACCATAGTAAATTGTGGAGCAGGTATCATTGGCCTCCAATCATCTGTTAAGTCTTTAAGATGCCTCGGCTGCAGATAGTTGACGATCCATAAATGCTATATACGCAAACATTGGCCATTAGTTTTCTCGTCAGTAGTGGTCATGCTACCACTTCGTTACTACTTTCTGAGCTTGTGCGATGACCGTTAGAACTTAGAAGCATGCTCTCTTCGATGCATGTTGGAGATTTTCAACCTGATGGAAGAACATTGTGTTATCCCCATTATATGCTTTTGATTGGGTCTTCTGTAATAGGGTTACCATTTTTATATGAAAAAATTACTGTGTTGTAAATTGATAGTGAACATATCCCTAAAAGATATAACTCAGCGCAAGTTTCATCCTTAGTAAAAGCCTTAGTTACACAATCAAGTATGCCAATTTTTTCTGACCAACTAGTGAAATAAGGTGAGTATATCTAACTAATACAAATCCGCAAGATTAATGCTAGGAACAGTGGTCGTCATCTGATCGTAGGCATGTCATATTGTAATAATACTTCACCTCAAGGGTTGAGGTTGAATGGCATGCAAATTTTATCTAGCTTTAACACCATGCTCCGATCCCTCAGCGAGCTGAAATAACACTTTCCTTAGAAGAATAGCGTGTGCAACTTTATTTACAGCGGACTGAAGCTCTTCATCCAAAACTAGATACGAAACACTGCAACTAACCGAGAGACAAGACACAAAAATATTGCAATACAACGGTCCTATTGTTGATTTCAAACTGAACACTAGCCACGACACACCCAGCATGATAATCAGTGCAAGGTAGACAATAATTAACAAGATCATTGGTTGATGCGTCAGTGTCGGTGCCCAGAAGCCAATGTAAGAGTGAAATTAAGGTAGCTCTATCCTCTCAACCAGGTGTTTCTGTAGGATGAATTGTCTCGCAGAGAGGCATCATGGGGCTTGTATTCCATGACATAGTTATGGGGAAGCTTTAAGTGACGTTTAATTGAATCCCTCAGAGCCATCACGGCCTAGATTGAGAAAATTAAGAATATTATAAATAAAATCGAGTCATTTCGCATGCACGTGCAAACAGACACGGAGAACCAGTGATAATGCTAACCTGATGATCAGATGCGTTGCGGTTCCAGACACTCAATATATCCTCATTGAAACGAATGCTTAGTACTGCACCACATATGTTATCTCCATAATCGAGTTGGTCACCAACTAAGGCAAGAACCTGCACGGTCAAGTATGTCTCAAAATTTCCAGTAACCAATTTCATCCCTAGACGACAGTATTTTGTTGTTATGAAGCCAGAAGATGAACTCTTAATGATAATAAATGAGGACAGAACATGATTGACATATAACTGAGCAAGAGAGACTTCTGGTGTGATTAGGTCTGTCTATAACTGGCCATCATATATAAAATTAAAAGGCATTTGACGGGGACAACTTTGAAAGCAAGAATTCGAATAAACAGAATCAAGAATTTATTCAACCACATATGTAGAATCTTATTGACTGAAATGCTCTCGTACATATATATATATATATATATATTTACAGTAAAATTCACAGAATAAACATTGTTCAATCAGGCACATTTTAAAAGCCTCTCCGTCTCTAACTTCTAATAATAAAATAGTTAAACAAGAGTTATTAATCAAACGAGCCAGTTGTATTCTAAACAGTCAACCACCAAACCAAAATATTTAAAGAACTTTTCTGCCACATGAGAAAGAGCTAACCCCACGCAACACTCTTTCCAACTCGTTTTTAAAAATCTTTTCGGAGACTTGAGATCTATTACATACTCCTACAATGTTTCTCCAAGAAGCCAGAGGATACATAGGCAACCAAACCAATCAGCATCATGCCCTGGTGTTTCCAAAAGGTTAAGAATGTATGATTAATTCTACAGTAAGTCCCAATACGCTCATTAGCTGGTACAGATTTACTCTCATATTGCAGTTGAGGCCAGACTCAAAATCCATGTAAAAAAATGTAAGCAGGCTCTTTCTTTTTGGTTGTGCACATATCTCCTCCTATTGGAAGCCATTTTATTCAAGACACGATTGAACATTAAATATAAATACTTCTCTCAATGGAGACTTGGACTTTGGCTCACCATATTATAAGGAACTAACCCCTTCAATGAGACTTAACATTTGTTGGTTCTGTAAGTAGGTTTAAATGTTCTCGGTTGTCTTTTTCTAAATCTATGTTGCAAGCAACAGAAGATTGAGATATCTTCATGTGAAATTAGCATTTTTCATGTGAATTTTTTTTCCCTTTTGGTCAAATCAGGAATGATTAGATAACCACCTAACGATCGCACAAGAATCCATGCAAGAAACTTGGGACCTATTGGTCCAATGAGAAGCCCACATAACCCTAATGCAGACACGTTTGACTACAACTAGAGGAACATGAATAGGGAAACCAAGAGACAATTTTCACAACACAAATAAACAAGGAAACGTCTTCACCTCCAGCAATGGTGAAAATAAGACATATTGAAATCCATAAACCAATTAAAATACAAGAATGATGTAACAGCAAATTTCAATAACCACTTTAAATTATTTTAAATGCTGGCATTAACTAATCATTATTAGTAATGAACTGTTCACCAAGTTGACAAGACATTATATTTATCTGGGGGGAAAAAAAAGGCAGTCAGACGTTCCGCAGGAAAAAGATAGAGAGAAAAAGACTTAAAATACATAAATAATTTGATTTACCAAGTCCTCCCAAAAACGGCCTGAGACAACCTTTTTGAATCGTATGATCCACTTACCACCATTACAATTAGCAGGGTCCTGAAAAGAAAAAATAACCCAGCATGTCATTGCAAATTAAAACTGTTATAATGTTGAAAATATCAGAACAGCTCAGACATTTCCAAATTCCAATCAATCAGGGGGAAAAAACTCCAAGGTCAGGATTTTGAATGCCTACTACCTCCCACAGAGGGCGAATTCCTTCCTTAAAAAGATGCAAATCTGTTGGAATTGGCAAGGAGGAAGGGCGAGCTAGATGGCAATAGCAAACCCAAAAACCTTCAACCTATTAATATGCAACAATAAAGAATCAGGAAAGCGCCGACGAATGAAAACTTGCAATGAGGCAAGTATTTCAATTCGCGTAGTTTGACTCTTGCAAGCGAAAGGATCTTACCGTACTGAACTCAACAATTCTCTTTATGTTGTCTTCGTATGATGTCTGATTTCGAACTCCAGGTGTTCGGCGGGTATACCAAAATACAAACTTGTGCTGCTCAAAGACATTACCGACACAAAATCAATAAATGGTTCGGTCAAATTGCGCAAAAGCCTTTGAGTTCGAAGGAAATTAGAGAACATCAGCAATGCATCCTCTCATGTAAAGAGTAATTATTTTGCTTTCGAATCAAATAGAAAGTCCCAACTCCCAAGTTCAGGATATAATTGAAATAAACATAAATTGAGCTCAAAAATGAAAATGAAAATGCTGGTCACAAAAACCGCTCAGCAATGTTCTCTCGACTCAAAATTATCCAAAAAAATAATCAACAATAAAAACAAATATTCAAGTGCAGCTGGCCTTGGACCGTTTATGATTGCCAAGATCCAGAGAGGATAATAACACAAACAGTCATTTAAACAGAAAATAGGGGGAGAAACCTTCAGGGGATGAAGACCGGCTTTGAGGTCACGGGCCTGTCGTTCTTCAGCCTCCTTATCAACAGTATCGTTGCCATCGGAAGCCAAAGGAGGCGAAGAATCTATGATTTGCTCGGGGTCGGTGTTGTTGGAGTTAGCATAGGAAGTCTTGTTGCTGATCTCTAATTCTCTCTTCTCGGCTGCCATATCCGTTAACCCTAATTCCTTTTACCTTTGTGATCAATGTTCACAGCGCTTTGGAAGATCAGAGACAGATAATGAGCGGAAGAAGGCGCCTTCTTCCTTCGCGCTTCCGGTTAGGGCTTGGCACTACGTTCTCTTTTTTATTTTCATTATTATTTTTATTTTTGGTCCAAGTCAGCTTAACGCCTCAAGCCATTACCGTAGAGCATTTAGCAAAGAAGGAAAACCGACCCTCCCTATCTGTACTCTACAGTAATATACTTCTTTAATCTCATTTACAAATTATTTTTAATATATTTCACTAATATTAAAAAAAATTCAAAATTTATTAACTCTGTTTTTAATAAGTTACTTTTATCTATTAAATATATATTTTAATAATATATTTTCTCTCCCTAATATTTTATGTAGGGTAAGAGAGGAAATTTTTGATAAAAATTAATAATATGATTTATAAAAAATTAAAAAAAATTTATCTCTGCTTTATAAATAGAATTGAAAAAATTTTTTTTTCTTTATATTATAAATAGGTTTAAAGGAAGTATTGTATATAATTTATAAACAAAAAAAAAAGGAATCACATCCCTGTTCATAAATGAATGGTATAATTTTTTTATTGTCCTCATGTTAAAAGCAATTTGTGGGGAATTAATTATAAACATATTTTTAATAAAAAAATTGAATAGTGATCGGTCTTGTTATAAAGAGTTAATCTTTTTTATCAGACTCAATTATTATTGGTAAGTAGTATAATTTTAATTTCTTCATGTGCATGAGACCTCAAGTTGGAAAATACATTCAAAAACATTTATCAACTGCATAGATTTTCAATAGCGGGGATTGCATTTAATCGCACCTTCCAAGAGAAGAAATCTAATTTTATTTGGGCGTTTACTTGATTGATTTCCAAAGTCCTCTGGCTTGGAGCAAAGTCTTTCGTAAAAAAAAAAAAAAATCTGAATAGTCTTTAATCATAAGAACAAAAATAGACAGTATATTTTTTTAATAAAAATAAAATATATATCTGGACTCTTTTTGTTTTTTGGCCCAAAATATCTGAACTTGGTGTCGTACAAAACTACTAATAGATATCCACCAAACCATCCTTCTAGATTTTATTTATTTATTTATTTGCCGATTAAACTTAGTGTTTTTCTTTTGCTATTTTCTTGAGTAAATTTTTTTTTTTTGGTTTGCCTCAATGGAGAAAATTTTTCAATGCGTGAAATGAAACTCATGCCAATCAAGACTTATAATATATATGATTTACTTAAACAAGATTTTCTTAGGGACTGCAAAATTTTAAGGAGCATGGAATATCATATAGCATCTCTCACCTAATCAGGGTAGTTTTTACTTTTTTTTGCCCCCACCGGTGTAAATAAGAGAACACAAAATCTTGTGGTCCTCAAAATAAAAATAAGTTCACTTATGTCAAAATATTATTTAATCGACTTGGATCAACATAAAATATGAAATTTATGAATGTTGCATTATTTATAAAGCACAGGACGAAAAATTACACAAAAAGAAAAAAAGAAGAAGAAAAAGAGGGCGCCTCTTGTGTACGCACGCGCACACGAGGCAGGGAGGGGGAGGAGACAGCGATTTTTATGACAGTGAGAGCATGGCGATAATATGGAAAGCGCTATTTGAGCTGGAAAAGTAGGTTCCCTTGGACCCTCTGGTTGGGATCGGCGAACCAATCCAACGATTGAACCCACTCCAGCAATACCCACCCACCACCTCCACCTCCATTTTCAGACCCAGCGTGACTCCAGGCAGAAGAGACAAGATAGCACCAGAAAGATTTTCGGGAGACCAAATTCAGCTCATCACCAAGACCCTTTGTTGTCTTTTAGCTCTGCGATTTGCGTCCCTGTCTTCACGATGGCCGCCTCGATCCTTCTCCTTTACATGACGGCTTTTTCTTTGCTACAGTATGCATCATCCTCGTCTTTGTGTCATCGCGACTCTGCTTTATTTCTTTATACTCTTAAATCCCAATGCCCTCTGTTGATCTCGCCAAATCCTCCTCTTCAGGTATATGTTTATTGACTTTCTTTTTCATTTTTCTTTTTAATTTTTCAGTAAATTTCCCTAATTGATTTCCAATTTGTCTTTGCTTGCGTGCTTCTCACTCTCTCTTTTTCCTTTGTTGTTCTTATTCATACGTGATTTTCATTTCGGGAATTGATTTTTTTTTTAAGCGGATTTATTTTATTCGTTGACATTTTAACGGCTCTATTCCTAGGTACTTTCATTTACTTAAGCCAAGGCTATTATAAAATGGAATTTAATTCATGGGACTCCGTTCCAAGAGCCAGGCCATTATTTCATAGAGTGAAATTGGGGGATCAGAATACTAGATGGGCATGTCTGATTGCAAATAGCAGAGAACTCTTTGTGGGCATTTTGAATTTGTCACGGTTTAGATAGAAAGATGATAAATTGATACTAAGTGTTGATTGAAGCGCTTATTGGAGCACTTGCCTCTTCCGTTTGCTTGGACTCTACTGCGTTCGGCCTTCTAACTTGACGTATACGATTCTCGCGTCTTGGACATAAAAGGTTTCTATTTAGCAGTTAGCATTGTGTAGAGGGAAAACCATTCGCAAACATGGGCTCAAATAAATGGATTTTATTTGCGGTTCTAGCTAAACATATATAATTACAGGGACGCGGTTTGTGAGATCATGTAGCATCAAACCTGGGCTTAGCAAGTTAGTTACTAGTCTGAGACGTTATAGTTGCTAGTTTAAGATTTCCACCTGACTGTCCCCTTCATGAGTGATGAGCTGGGCTTTTAACCAGAAATCTATAATTCTTATTTAATTTTATCTTTTTTTTAGAAGAAGAAGAAGAAGAAGATATATATACTCAATTCTTATTAATTGTAGTTGACTGAGAATTAGTTTATTATACTCACTGGGCAGAGTGTATTCTGTTCCTTTGTGAGAAATAAGCAGGCCAATACTTTGCAATCGTGTTTTTCTAGGTGAGAATTCTCCCAAGGTTTCTTTGTTAATTGGGGGAAGAATCTATAGAATACCAAAGTTTTTAAAGAACTCACCTAAAGATAATTGGATTCAATTAAACAAAGTGTTGTCACGAATAAGAATCAGATGTTATTGATATAATGAAGAAATATGCGTGTGTGATATCCTATATTATCATTTAGAGAATATAAAGTTAACAGTAACAATGTTTTAAATCCTTTCCTCATTCTAATGTATACCCTATTAGTTGACCCATATCAATCAAGCCCTTTATATTACAAGTGCAAGTTTGAATAACGTTTATGACATTTATTTGTTGAACTTTTGTAACATATCAGTCATCAACTTGAAATCTTGATGCACATGTAGTAGTAAGATCTAGTCCAAGATTCATTTAGTATTTTTTATGGAGAAATTGCTAGAGAAAAATGGAAGAGTAAAACAGAGGAAAGGAGGAGTGAGCGAATCCAAGAAATTTGGCCACATTAACTGCATGTTAAACTGTGATGTTCCCATAAGAAAATTATGGCAACATACAAAAAGAGAGGCATTGCAAAAGTAAGCTTTGTAATTGTGAGGAGTTCACTCCACTACACCTTTTGCACCTTGGAACGTCATAAACTGCCCACTGTTTCAAAACTTAGCCTCGTTATATCTTTCAAGACCTTTGGGGGTAGTTTGTTTGTTTGCTCAGGTTTAGAACTGTATAAATCTTATTTGTCTAAAATATGGCTGTGTCCTAGTTTAGTATATAATATTGTTTGGTAGTTTGCTGAACCTATTTTGATGAGGAACACCTTTTAAACTTGTCATGAGAAACTGCTCCAATGTGATACTACACATCAAGGTTTACCCAATGACCACAAACAGGTATTTTGGTGAGACGGGAAGCCACCAATCGATTGTTTCCACGCTAACCTTCCACATAATTTTGCAAGTCATCATTGTGAAGGGTCAACAAAGCTACAAAATGTAATTGTATTCGTCTTATTGTGATTAGTAATTGTATTCATCTTATTGAATGCAGTTATTCTAACAAAAGAATTTATCTAAAAAGGATTACAGTTTTCTTAACAGACTTGTCGAGATCAAATCTCTTATAGATAGGAGAATGAGTCAGAAACAAAAGTTAGGGCTCATAAGAGACTATGTCAAGTAAATAAACTGGGGATTTAATTAACCGATTTCTTTATCACCCAGATTTGAAAAGTAGAAAACTTAATGAAGGATCGGGTCCCTACATGCATCTACAAATTTGGATGGGAGAATCAAGCAGAGAGAGACAGAGAGAGGGAATAAAAACAGCAAAAGAACTCTAAGGGAATAAAGAAAAAACTTCTTAATCAAATGTCCTCGGCTTGGTAAAAGGGCCTAACTCTAAACCCAAACACACTAATGGTCCAAGCGTCTAAAAGAAACATTATGCTTGCAAGGTAAACTCTTAATTTAATGAAAATTATACACACATTATTTAAAGCCGTAATGAATTAATCTCACAGGAAAATGGCTTATAAGTTTGCCCATTTGTGGACACCTGACTCCCAATGTCCCAAGTCCAAATGTTGTTCATTCTGGTACTTAAATTAATTAACACCATACTTGAGATGTTTTATCTAAGCTGGAGTTCATTCATGGGTCATATTTAGGCAACCTCATCGTGCCAAAAAAGTTTAGGGTCTTGAAATTTCTCTTGGTGATTCTGTTTGTTCTTATGAAAAAATTGGCCTCATCCAAGATCCCTGAATATCTAGAACTATGATTTTCCGCTTTACTGTCCTTCATAAGTGGATTTTCCTCTGCCTTTGATTCTATTTTTTCAATTATACTTATCCCAAACTGCAGATTTGGATTAGGTGTATTTAATTTGTTACTTCAATTTGTTCAGGTAGACGGGAGTTATGTAGAAGGCATTTTGCCTGGAAAGCAGAGCATCGGATATATTTCTGTACTTTTTTATGCTTCTTGGTGCCCATTTTCGCAGAATGTGCTTCCTAAAATTGAAACTCTTAGTTCCATATATCCTCAAGTGGAGCATTTGGTAGTTGAGCAGTCATTGACCTTGCCAAGGTTTTGAAACTCTCCCTTCATGTAATCTTGATCTTCTGTGCTACTATGAATTCTTCTTCTTTTTTTTTAGCTATATGCTAAGTCTGTAAT